TACAAAAAGATACATGCAATGGAAAAGAAGTTAAAGTTTATTCAGAGTATCCCTACTCACTTTCAATGGCTGGTTTTGTTTCACACACAAACACACTAATACATTGGGCAAAAAAACACTGATGCAAATCTCTACAATGACTTTGTATTCTAATTATACATTTAATGATTATCACAAATGTCGTGCACATTGTCAACATAAATGTGTGATTAGACTTCACATTGATTTGTTTCATCCTGATTTGGATAGCTCATTTCACAATCCTTTCTCAATGTAATAACAATTCTGTGTTCATACCAATAATAACTGGTGGTTTACATTGGAGATTAAGTGACAGCAAATCTCAATATTCTAACACTCTTCCCAGTATTCCAGAGGTTTTCAAAAATGTCATTGTCTGGATGGTTCCAACAATTCCTCAAATTTCTATTTCTTCTAGCCATACACTCCCCCCACCGCATCCAGTATCTTTGGGACCATTTTCAGTGTCCCATTAAGAATTAGTCCAAATGTTACCATCATTTTCCACACACATTTCTAAGTTCTCTAAGCAAGAGTCAAGATACATATCTTTTAAGTTGGTTTTGTATCTTCTCTTTTGCTTTGCCTTAAAATTAAAATCCAATCTGACAATCTTGTTTACTCCTATCAAAGCCAGTCTCCTGGACTGGTGATCTGTTTGAATCTCAAAGTCCCAGAAAATTGGTTTCATTCTCTAGTTTAAACCTTAGTCTATGTACACACCATTGGTTTGTATTGTTAAAATATAGTCACACATTTTCCAGGTGTCTCACCAGATCATGCCTATTCTTGTATTCTTTCGGGTAGAGTTTATATTCTGTTTTATCTCTTCATTTGTTGCTTGGATAGTATTAATTTGGGCCACAATATAACAGCTTCTCTTAAGGTTTTCATTTACATAACCATCTACATAGAAATTTTTATGGACTTCCTTTGATTTGTTTTCTAAAGTGCCTAGATATTTATTTCATCATAAAATTTACCCAATAATTGTGATGGAAATTATAAACAAAAATATTTATAAAACAAAACATGGATAATATATTATTTAAGATCAGATGTATCAATTAAAGAAGCCAAAATATTGCTCCTATAATGTAACAGTTTTTATGAATTTTACTGAATTTCCCCCAAGTTCACATTAGCCAGATTACTGAAATTTGAAGAAACATTGTTTGGACCGTTATCCTCATCTTCATTGTCTTATTCACGACATTTCAGCCATTGTACATTCCAGCCTTCTTCAGGTGATGTACATTGGAATTTTGAACCAAACCCTTTATTTAATCCATGGAGGTAGATTGTTCTAGTACCAACATATCAACCAAAGGCGGCGAGAGCATACAAAATGAATATGACAAAGATGAGAATAACAGTCTGAACAATGAAAATACCTCATCTCAGAAATATTAACAAATATTATTCTAATTAAAAATAATTACAGAGTGTGTATAAAGTTTAAAAAGACATGTTTTGAACAAAAAATTTAAAACAATGTCATTAAAGCTCTAAAAACAATATTAATGTGAAATGTGTACTTCATGTTCTGAAATCAGTTTTCCAAGTCATTCATCTATTGTTTTTGTGAGAAGTTTTACTTGAACATATGAAACAGGCAGCATTAGGAGCCAGAATAAGTTCATCCTTTCTTGAAAATTGGCATTAACAAAAAAAAAAAAAAAAATGTAAGTTCTTCCAAAGTAAGGGGTCGGTAAGTTTTCAATCAAATTAAACTTAGGTGAACAAACCACAGATTTTTTTTTGTTTTTGTTAAGTGCATTTTTTTTCAAGTCTTCATAGTTTGGCAAAGATTAAGATAGGAAATTTTAGAATCTTTTTTTTGCAAAAAATAAAAATAAAAAAAAGATTTGGAAATTCTTGCAAAAGTCAAATTTTTGAATACTTATTCATACCAAATGAATGAAATTATTTTTAAATATTTTTTTTTTTTTTTTTTTTACTCCATTACCACACCTCCTGCTTAATTTTGTGAAATTTCAAGAAATTAAAATGACACCAGCTTCATATTTATATTAGTTAAAAGCAGGACACCTTGAAGAATTTAAATCATTTTTTTTTTTTTTTTTTTTTTGTAAAACAGAAACACTATTTACTGAAAGTCTACTCTGAATCATAAAATGAAAAAAGCAATAAAACTAAGACATTAATTATAAAATTAATTAAGAGCTTTTCTAAATAAAATATATTAAGGACATTATTGTCGTGAGAAAAAAAAAAATTAAAACAAAAAAAATAAAATAAAAGCTTCAAGAAATTTATTTTAAACCTTAAATCTTGCAAATCTATGGAGGTACCTAACTAAAAGTAAAGGAGCAATGCTGTACATAAAACCCTTGGACAATATTTAGCTTCTTGAGCAATGGCACTAAATATTAAAGAAAGAAAAAAAATTGTTTATTCTTTTGTCTATTCATTTGATTTTGCAGATGGATTTCGTGGAAAAATCAGTTTATTACTTTAAAACCAAATATCTGGTGCTTTTTAACAATTCCTTCCTGATAAAACACTTAAAAATTGACAGATGGATTTTTTATAACCCCTTTTTTGATATTAATTCAACTTACTTTATCAGACTTTTAAGAGAATCACCCAGGGCCTTCAAAGAACAGTTCCATGGTACCTACTGATCGGTTTGCCAATTTACAGCATTGTTTTACCTTTTGCAAAATATTAAGCATTTTTCTTTGTCACTGGAAATGGCAGTGTATAAAATGTATATATTGTAGATATATTGTACATTCTATGAAAGGAAAAGTGCATCTATAAATAGGTATTTAAATACATGTTATTTGGAATTTGATAAGGTCTTGACATACAAGATTCCAAAATCTGCATGTGGCAACATTGTAAACACTACAAATATAAAGAATTCTAAAATTCTCTTCTAGTAGAGTGGGAAGGTATTTTATGAAAAAGGAATCCCCATGAAACTCAAAAGTCCACAATAATTGGCATTAATTGGTGTGTGTATGATTATTATGCAACAATGTGTGTATTCCTTGTACTTATTGTGGGTTCAAATGTCATTTTGATCTTTACTACTGTATTTCCATCAGTTCAAAAAAAAAAAAAAAAAAAATTTACAAAGAGACAATGAGAGTAAGAACAAATGAAATGCAAGATAAAATAAGATAATAAAGTCACATGATAAAATTACTGTTCACAATTGATTCATATTTTTATCATCTGAACTACTATCTTTGACCTTGCTAGAAGTTGGAGCTCTTATAGAAATTAGGTTAATACTAATCTAACATTTCTCAGTAAACAAAAGCAACAATATTCACCATTAATCTAATATAAACAAAGCATTATCAACAACCTTCCTCTATGTCTTATTCCTTCAGGAACATAGTGATCATGGCTCTCCACAACTTCCTATCTATGTTTATCTTTTTGCCATAATTCCCCGCTCTCCCCATAAGTTCATCAGGTAGGTGTCCCACTGCTTCCCCTGTGTTTTCCCTTCAATGTGTCCTCTAAGTATCAAAATTTCCAAGCCTTCCTTTCTCCTTATGTGTCTTAGAAATTTCAGCAGTCTCTGATTTTGAGTAGGTCTCTTTTGTTTCCATATGACATATGCACACCATCCACTGTATTCTCAGCATCCTTCTACAGGACACTTTTGTTGCCTCCAGAGCAACTATATTTAATTCATACAGCTTTAGATTGTAGGAAAAAATAATAACCATTACTGTCACAGGTTAACTTACTACTTATTGATTTATTAATAAAAGAATTGTTCTATGACAGCAGATTTGGCAAGCCCAAATTTCTCCACTCGACTGGAATTCGAACCTGGCTCTCCAACTCCTCAATCCAGCCGCAATACATTACCTCACCGAAGGAATCCATTACATTGACTTACGTGCCAATACCCTTGGGAAAGGTGTGAATCCACTTCTTCTCCCGCCAGCTATGGGTAAATAGCAGGACAGACTGGGTTCTATAGCCTTGGATAGCAACTGGTCTAGGAGAAGGACAACTCTGAATTCAAAACCAGTGGAGGGTCGTTTGGGGACCTTGTGGCACATAGTGCACCAGGTGTCTGTATTCGGCCCTTCAAAAAGTGTGGATGGTCCTGCATGAAACCTTCACCACTATAATCAAATCTCATGTGCTGTTGTCAGACTGTTGGTTTCCTAGGAACTAATCTACTTGGCCCTCATACGTCAATGGGAGAGAGTATATATATATATATATATATATATATATATATATATATATATATATATATTAAACCATGTACTATTTGGTATATTTTACACTTCCAAGGACAAAAGCTAAAGCAAAAATGTAAATAAATTTTACTTTGTGAAATTTGAGAAGAACAAACATTTTTTATTAAATTTATATAAATAGTTTTGGCTTTTATAATTGTAAATAATGACTATATAGTATTAAAATGCACAATAAAAAGGAATAAATATATTAATTGCAAGAATATGCCATAGGATGTGAAAGGGTCCTACTAGTGTGGTTAGTAAAGGTACTAAAAAATCTCAGTTGTAAGATTCAAGATATACAAGAGATTGTATATCAAAATAAGTTAATTCGTATGAATAAACTATCAAACTTAAAATAAACAACCATTTAACCCAAACCTATTTGATCTGCTATTATCTGTTATTTTTAACAGTAGATATTGCATGTACATAATATGGCCTGAAAGTTGATGGTTAAGTACTTTAATTATTCTATACTTACTAAATTTTTCTTTTTGGCAAAATTTTTATGAAAGATCAAGAAGAGATGTTTAAGTAATCTTTCACAAGTATATGCAATTCTTTTCTTTTTTCACTAAGAAATTTTTAATGAACATTTACACACTTTTGAAGAACATATTGTAAACTTTGGAGAGGGAAAAAAAAACAATATTAACCTAATAAGAATATGTCAATAACTGTTCAGAACTGAAGCAGAACATAACAAAAAGTGTTTTAAAAAAGTTTTCTTACTTAAAGATCTGATTTGAGTCTGTTTCAAGGTTGCTAAAGTCAAACGCATAATTGATGCTTTATCAAGTTGAGAGGATTTGCTTTCAGGAAGTGGGAGGTTCTTGGCCAATTCTGTAAAAACATTTGTTTCTTGTGTTCTCCGCTGACGAGCAGCATCTCTGGACTTTTCTCTTCTTTTCTCAGAATTTCTACAAAATAAAATAAAGTTAGGGTTATTAAAAAAAAAAAAAAAACTTCTAATATTTAAATTTTTTATAATTCCTGAAAAGAAAGACAAACTTAAATTAATAACTTCAAACCCATCCAAATTTTTTTTTTTTTTTTTTTTTTTTTTTTTTGATAAGCAAGTCAAATTTGACCTTGATATAAAGAGACCACTTGACCTAAGTAACAATTCATACACCATTTATGAGATTATACAGTTCTACTCAATGGTTTTCATGAAGTTAGGATGCCTTAACTTAAAGCTATTACAAATTAATGATACATAATTAAATTAAAATTCTAACTATAGCTGCATACCTGTGTTCATGACACAAATACCCCAAGGGAAATTTATAAATCCACTTCTACATACTGTCCCTTTCACTCATATATATATATATTTCAGTTTATACATTATTTTTATAGACATAAATATTTAAGTAAATGCTCTGTTTATAATAAACAATATTTACATTTATTGGCATGAATGTCCAAGAATTTTCATAGAAAATGTGTCCTCTGACAGTAATCAAACCTATATCATGGGAAATTTGTTGTATAAAAACAGTAATTTGACTTAGCTAACCAGATGCTTCCTCTGTAGCACATCAGACTAAATGACAGTTCCATGTAGAATACAGGTTTGATTACTGTTTCTATGAAATTTCTTGGACATTCAGACTGATAAATGTTGTCAGTATTGTTTATTATAAACAGAGCATTTACTTAAATATTTTTGGAACACTCCATATCCAATCATCACTTGAAAGTGGAATTACATTAAAGTCCAATGTGAAGACAAATGTTGATTCCACTTATACAAAATCATCTGACCATCAGAATTAATCATTTCTGCTCTTTGTTGGAGCTAAAAACTTTATCATGGCACTTAATGCAGTATCAACAACTTGGCCAATATAAAAGTTTGAGTCATAATATAATACAACTTACTAGCCTTGCCACTCATAACTGAAGGTCACCTGAGGTGGTTCTTCATCACAACTGATAGAGTTGTTCAAATACTCAGAATCACTGAGTGACTTTTCTTTTCCTTTGTCTTTCTTTTGAGGTGGAAATGAATTAAATGATTTTCCTGTCAAGAGCAGTTTCCAGATGAGATTTGCTTTCACTGGTGTTGATTTTGATACCTAAGAGAACCTTCAGTTATCCAAATTGATCTTTCAGTGCTTCCAAACCACTGCTGGTTGTACATCTTTAATAGACTTCACAGGACCATCATGTTTGCTGACTGAATGATTCTCTATTTCTCAACAACAGCTTAACACTATATTTCCTTCTTTTGCCTCATTTTTAGCAACCCTTTCTTGTAAATGAAGTTTTAGTACTTGTTGCTTATGTCTTTCTTGCAGATGTTTTGTATGCTCTCTTAAAATGTCAAGAACAAATTGTCACTTAATTACTGACTGTTTCCAGCAAAGTTGTAGTCTGGTTGTGCTTGAGCATGTTTGTAGTTGATTGATGGCAAAGTGATGCATGTTGTCTTTTTCCTTTTGCCAGTTTCACTCCAACTTTCAAATATTGTTACCACATTTAAATTTTGAAAACTTTTAAACTTACATGAAAGAAAAATCCCTGAAGAGGTTACTTAAGGAAAAAAAAATATATTCAAATTTAACCATAAACATACTGAAAGTTTGTCATGAACTTTACCAAAAAAGTAACTTAAAACTCAAAAAATATTTTCTTTCAGAGTTGGAGCTCGTATAATTTAAAATATTTCCTTTCACTTTTGACACAAAAAATCTATACCGAATATCTATATTTAATAAATACTTGTAATTTTTCATTGCCATTCTCAAATTCCTCCAATAAGGGATTTTTCTATTAAATGAAGATATGTTTCAAGAATTAAAAAAATATAAAGTTTAATTAATAAACACTTTTGAGTTAACATTAAAAGGCTACTGTGGACATGCACAAATAATCGTTATTTTAACTATGTTTTAAGCAAAAGATTAAAAAAAAGAATTTTTTTTTTTTACAAAATCCAGTCAGTTATTCCTTAATTTTACTAATTTACTTTGAAACAGAAGACAAATACTAAACTTTTAAATGTTATTGTCATTTGTTGTCAAGAATGGAAATTCAATGAGTGACTATGGCAAGGTTATTAAATGTCTTAAATGTTAAAATCTTTTTTTTTTTTTTTTTTTTTACAGATCAACTCGAGGTTGTTACTTATCAAATAAAAAAGAAAAATTTTACTTCAAAAGGAGACATTTAAATTATTCAAAATTTGTTTTAAAATTTTCTTCATTAAATTTGTAGCAATATTTTATAAAATGACCATTAAAATTTCTATTTTAATTTTTTATGGACAAACAAGAATAAGCAAAATTTAAAGAACTAAAAATATATTCAGTCTAGTTTATTATTTCAGTTATTTTTTTTTATTATAGTTTTTAAGAAAATAAGGAAAACTTAAGCAACAGGAATTTGAGCTGACCGTTTTGAAAAAATAAGATTGTCTTATTTTTGTTCAGCTTGAATTTATTTTAAAAATAAATAATTGCTTTATACAGTTTTAAAATACATCATTAAAGAAAATATAAGAAAATGATTCAAACTGTGTAATATCCATTGAGTCTGCTTTTTTCGTAAATGGGATTTGGCTGGCAATGTTCATTCACTCAGCCAGTGATACAAATTTTGATGCATCAGATCCAACTGTTTTGATGCAAAATGAATGCAGTATACTCTTTTTGATTCACATGTGACTAGAGTTGTGTGAATACAGAGATATAAAACCAATTGATTATTAAAGATGAGACATTGCTCTACATTTTTCTTAAGGTTTGGATTTCTGTTGTTTTGTCCACTAATGTTTTCAACTTAGAAATCTTTTTGTCAAAGACAAGTTCAAAACTTATGCTTCATCCACCAAACTAACAAGCACACTTTTTTTCTTTATTTTTTGAAAATGAGACCATTTGATTTGTGTAAATAGACAATTTGGAGTGCAACTAACTTGAAAAACATCATTATGAAATTGTCAACTTTCAAAGTTTTTTATTCATTGAAATAGTGATAATTCAAAGAAACATGGAATAAAAACTAATCATCACACATGAAAAAAAAGCTATCTTTAGGCGGGGGTACAAAAAAAAAAATGATCAAATTTTATTTATATACTAACTTTATCAAAATAGCCTTGAAAATAAACAAGATATCAGCAGCTGAAATGGAAGGAAATTTCACTACTTTGACATGTGATTGCAATGTAAACCAGGGTAGTTTGGGATACTTAATAAAAGCAATAGATGTCCTTATTAAAAAAAACTTTTTTGTAGGGAGTGTCAAGCTTTACTATACAAAGTGCAACAAATTTTTATTTATAAATAAAATATAAAGAGACTTCAGAAATATTTGATTAACAATATCCTATATACATGAATAAATTGTTAATTTAGATGTTAATATAACCTCCTTAATATTCTATAAACATTCACCTTATTGATATTAACTTTTATATGGTTTCAACTTTAACATTACTTAGAAGTCTTTAATGTTTCAGAGATCTTTAAATATAGGGTTCAATCTAATGTACATCACTTAAATGATGGATGACAATCTCAGTAAATATTTAGTAAGATTGTAGACCATTAATTTGGTGTCTTTGAAATCATTATTATAAGTCAAACCTAGGATGGGGTCTCAAGCCTTGAATGGCAACCTTCCTAGAGATGGTGTCTCAATAAAAACAGTGTACTTGGACTACTCTGAGTATCCAGGTTGTGTGTCAAGAAGAGCATCCAGCTTTGTAAAACTTTGCTTCAAATCCTTAATGACAGGATCCTCTGTCAGAGAGGAGCCACTTTCGTTTGTGCAAGATTAATCCTGGTTGTTCAAAAAATAAAAATAAGCGCAGTTAAGACAACAATATGAGAGAGTCAAGTTTGCAGACTGTGAAATTGTTGTTTTGCAAGAATATACTTTTCAGCTTAAAAAAAAAAAAGAAAAAAGTTTAATTTATAATAATAACTGCATTTATCTTTAATCACAAACTTTGAAAGGATCTATAAATTTATTACTAACAATAGTAGCTATAAACACTACTCTACATACACTTGTCTTCTAAGTTATATTGGTAGATTATTTTCATTAAGGTCGCAACAATGTCTAACCTGGCCATCAGGTCACAACCAATGTAGTATCATATTCATCTTCAAGCATTTCTGCAATTTTTATTTAAAAGGATATAGAAAAAACTTGGCTAAACATAATCAGTCTAACTCTTCTGCTTGTATTTGCAAACATAAAATTCTTAAAAGTATTTTCAACTTTTTGACTTTTCAGATCAACTTTTATTATCCTTTTATCTTTTCCATAATAATATTTTTTTAACTTTTTTTTTTTACCTGGTATATACATTATTGAAATCAACTTACAAACTAATCCAAATCTTAAAAACACTTGATATGTATGAATTGGTTAATAATTTTGGTAAATTGATAAACCAGAGTGGGGATCTGGGATATGATAGGATGCAGAGAGATTTATTTATTTTTTGAATTAACAGAATGTGTTTCATGCACATTTACAAAAAAATTCACAACTATCAGTTGCATTAATTTGTCTGAGCAATTCACTCCTAAAGATGATCTTGGATCAGATTGAAAGTATTTGGGGGAATAAAAGGAATGAGAAAAACTACAGTGTCTTCCTTAATGAGTTTAAAAACAACATTAATAAGTTGATCCATGAATTTGAGACGATTAAAATAAAAATAAATAGACAGGTCTAGATTATTCAACCAAACATGCAATATTTTATATATATTATTTATATATCATATGTGCGCAGTACTTATTGGGAAGCGCTCAATATCAGTGATAGAGCTAACATATTTAGTTGGATTGATGTGAGTTTGTGACACTGGGTTTCATGCTATTTGTAATCATCAGATCAGACAATGCCCACTTTTCTCAGTAGTTTGTCTGACAATCACAAATAGCGTGAAATC